TAATTCGGAGAGAAGGATATTCGGCTGTCAAGAGGACTGCCCGATGCAGCTTCCTCGAAAGAATCGACGATTGAACGGCCGGCATCCTCGACATGAATTTGGAGGAGCGTTAGACGGAACAAAGGCCGAATGTGAATTTTGCATCTGGAGGGAAGCCGCCCGCTATACATTTTTACGGCCTTATATCATACGTCTACGTACGTTTTTATCTCCTATGCTTCTGTGTACTTAATAATGATTATTCATATAGAGTATGTAGAGTTATGTAGTAAATATTACCCGCTAAAAACACTATAGCTCTTTTTTTCCCCTTTCGATCGAAAAGTTTTATGCGCTATGTGGTGTGATGTGTGTTCGTGTGTGTATGTGAGTGCGCGCGCGTGTCTGTGTCGATGTGCTCGTATGACTCGTGTATGTGTGATGAGAGCAGAAGATCAATGTGAACTCAGATTTGGCGACTCGAGATGGGCAATCGGGTGTGGAAAAGATGGGTTGTGAGAAAAAATTGAAAAAAAGCCAATCGGGAAGAAACAAAAATTGTGCCGTGCGTGAAAAACGAAGAATAATGATGAAGGTAAACGGAAAAACGGTTGGTCTCCCAAGTGCAAACTCAAAAGCGCGAAAGAACTCTGTAACGCGACGACGCACAAAATTTCGCGAGTTCATGCGTGTGTGGGATATAGCTCGCGGGAAAAAAAAGGATCTGCGTGATCAGCGAAGGAGGAGACGCGCGTCCCTCGCACGGCAGGAGGAAAAACAACGATTCTCCCCCAGCCCGCTACTCCTCTCCATATTTCCCTCCCTTTTTCTCTCTCTCGCGACGCGATCTCTCGCGAACGTCCTGTGATCGCCCGAGAATATTTGCGCCGGAGATCGATCGAATTGTAGCCGGACGTGCGCGTTCCACGACGATTCGAAACGCCTAAGCATGATCAAGAGAAGACAGCCGGAAAAAGGGAGCGCAGTCTCAGTGAAGAAAACAGAAAAATCCCCTGGAGAGAGGCGCGCGAGGGAAACGCGCGTGTCGCGCTCCTTTCGCGGCGGTCGCAAAGATCAGGAAAAAAACAACAAAAATCGTCCAAGACGCAAAAATACATAGTGGCTAGTAGCAATAGTAGTAGTAGTAGTAGTAGTAATGGTAGTAGTAGTAGTAATAGTATAGCAATTATAATAGAACTTTTTGCTCTATAGATAGAATAGTAGCAATTAAAGTAAACTAAAGTAGACAAAAATGAATTAATTACGGCGAAATCATATACCTTACAATCGCGGCCGATTCCGCGGGCTCGCCGTCGCGGCTCGGCCAATCTCGGCGGAGTCCTCGATCGATCGATCTCGATCGGGGCGCGCTCCTCGATCGCGGCGGCGGCTCGCGACGACGAGGTCCGCGGCGACTCGGGAATTCCCGCCGGAATTGAAACCAAAAATATAAAAAAAAAAAACCAAGGAAATACATCATACATCTAACGTAGCGAGTGCGAAGCGAATGCAAGCGCGGAGGCTGTCTCCGTCGGCAATGCGCAACCTTTATCTATATGTATATAACGCGATGTATCGATACCACGGGAGACGAACACACACGACGGCGTGCGCGGCGACGAGCGGAGGCGCGTCGTTCGCCTCGTTCCGGGCTGTGCGGCATTATTTGTTTCGTTTTCTCCCCTTTTTCCTCTCTTTTCTTCCTCCTCACGTCGTTGTCGTTCCATGTCCGAGAGAGACGCGGGTGTGACACGTCGGGCGTGTTCCGGCTCTCCCGAGGCATCGTACACGCAATTGAGAAAGTGGGTGATCTTCTCAAGCACATGTTTTATCCTCCATCTCTCTCTTTCTCTCTCTCTCCTTCCGTTCGCTTAGTGTTTAATATTTATGTTTTTCACTTGAGATGCATTATCTTCGTCGTCCTCCATCCATTTTTTTCCCTCTCTCTTTCTCTCTCCCTTTGTCTGTCTGTCTCTCGCTCTCCCTTTCCCCAAGAACATTTTCCTCGATTCCCTTTCTTTCCTGCTTACTATAGTAACGGCGAGACGGCGCGGCGTCGCCGCGTTCGCTATGATTATCGATTAATTAATTATTATTACTTCGTTTTTATGCATGCAATCATCGTTATTAAGATGTGTCTTTCTTTCCCTTCCTCCTCGATTATCCTCTCCCTCCCTACCTATCTCGGCGTGCGTAAGTGTAATAATAATATGTATGTATATTAGTATAGATACATACAAAAGTATATATATGTATATATATATATATTTATATAGTATGCGTGTGTGTGTTATGCGGCATGCGTATAGACATATCGGCGTGTCGTTCGTTTTGTAGTTTCCTTTTTTTACTTTTTCCTCTCGTGCTATGCCTCGAAATATCTTCTTAATGCGCTAATGAAAGGTTTGGCCCTTCGGTCGCCCGAGCGTCGTGCTGGGTCGGACCGATTCTTCTTCTTCTGCTGCCTCTTCTTGTCTTCCTCCTCATTTTAGGTAATGCCGTAGCTTTTTGCCGTCTTTCTTTCTTCTGTCTTTTGCTCTGATGCTATGCTGCTGCTGCTGCTGTTGCTTACTGCTGCGCGGAAGCTGCGTTCTCGTCGGCGAAATTCAGGATGTTCGCCTACGTCTTACGACTGCTTGTTGCTTCGGTTTGCTGTGTGCCTTCAGCGTTTCTCTCGCTGCGTGGCGTCCCGTCCCACTCTTTCTTCTTCTTCTTTTCTTGTGATCGTGCTCGCGAACCTCTATGTATGATTAATGAATTTGTTGTTATTTTTTTTAGCAGTCTCTTCTCGTCGTGGCAGTCTGTGAATTCGCGCGCGGTCGTCATCAAAGTTGCCGGCGACGTCTGACGACGATCCTCGCTGTGCATCGGTCGTTGAATTTTTGCTACTTTACAGTTTGATTATATTGAAACCCTTAACCTAATCGCTAGTGGTAGATTATTCTTCCGCGAATGAGATAATCAAAAATACGAAGCAAGAGTATCGGAAGATCCGAATTGGTTTCTTCACTTCTCCCATTTTTTCTTCCTCTTTCTATCTCTTTTTTATAAAGGTCGCGACGTTGCTTTGATTATCTTGAAACTTTTAATATGATCTCTTCTTCCGAGTGAAATTTTTTTGAAGATCCGAATTGACTTCTTCTTTTTCCTCTTTCTTCTCTCACGATGAAGATTTACGTTGCTTTGATTATCCCAAAACTCTTGACTTAATTTCTATTCGACGTTGTCTCTTCAATTTCGATACTTCCAGAAAATCGAAGATTCAGACTGACTCCTTTGTCGTTCCGAATGAAGATTAATTGATCACCTTCGAAATGATAATTTAACTTCCGGCCGTTATAATCTTCTGAGCGAAATATTTAAGTGTCCGAAATTGTCCTTCTTCTCTCGAGGATCGCCCAGTCGACGTATTCTTTCCTTTCTTTCTCTCTCCCTCGTTTCTTCCTCAATCAACGGGCTGTGTCTGTGTAACTGACGCAGTTTGCGTGCTGTCGGAAAAATGTGCGTATTGTTGTTTGTGTGTTCTGCCAGCCTATCTTTTCTCTCTCTCTTTCTCTCTCCTCTCTAATTCGCTTTCTCTATATCTAATTTATTCTCGCCGCTGCGCTGTGACACGGACGAGAAAACACGAAGCGAATTACGCCACGAGTCGAGGGGCTCCTGGCGAAAATCTCACACGAGTCGAGTCACACACGAGTCGCTAAATTATCTTAACTTACAACAGTTTGTTAGAAAATTCATCATAAATCGTAATCTTAAAAATACTTCTTTTTCGAATTTCCCCCGACTTGGCGAATAATCGAACAGTGTTCGTGAAGTGAAGAACCCTTTCCTGTGTTAATGAACGAAAAGATCGAAGATACGAAATCTAGCCGATGTTACGAAATTTACACTCTGATAGATTTGACTCGAGACGTCGAGTAACGACGCCGGAAGTCGACGGTGGATATGTTCCAATCTGATCAGACTGATTGACATGCGTGTGCGTGAATGATGTATCAAAGATCAATTACGATAACTCTGGCAGCGTTATGTCTCTGTTTCTCCTTTGTTCTCTCGACTGACTGATAGGGTGCGCGGAAAATGCGCAAAGCGCGTCAACTCTCTCCGAGAGTGAAAGTGGTCCCGCTTGAATCGTCTTCTCGACTCGTGATATCGACGATATCGACAGTGCTCGTGCGAGTCTGTCACCGGGAGCCCTTCGACTCGCGCCAACGTATGTACAGAGCGTATTTTATCTACACATATATGTACAACGTGCGTTTCGTGCAACTTGCTGTACGTTTTGTGTACGTATGTATATATGTATGTACGTATACGTATGTGTGTGTGCGCGTGTGTGTGTGTGTGTGTGTATGTCTGTGTTAACCGGAGGTTAACGCCAATGCGGCACAATTAACGCGGCAGTGGTATTCGGATCCGAGATCGCGGACCCGTCGAGCGGGCATTTCTTCGGAGGAGTCCTCGAATCAACAACATTCGCTCACTCGTCACTTCATCAGCGAGCGATCTAACAGTGACGTTCCCTGACGCTCATCTATTCCACAATTTCGATGACGTCACTCTCTTCGTGTCGTCGCGGACTCCAGTAAACGTCTTGCTTCTCGAGCGAACGCCCCTTCTCTGCGCTCGCATCCAAACGGAAGAGTCAAATGGTCGGAGGAGAATCGGTGGTTTGCACACTGCGTGTCTTTGTATTTGCATTACAATTTATTGTTTAAAGTAATTGGAACATGATTGATATGCATTAATCGTATAGTCATCTTACTATATATCGTTTTTAAAATAAAGGAGAGCACTTATAAGAACAAATGAATACCACTGCCGGGCTAAAAGTGGTGTCTGAGCGATTATCGGCGGTATGGCGTGCTGCTTCTTACGGGAGGAAATTAATGTGTGATTCCTCCCTGTCTTTCTCGGGGGAGGATGTAGCCTCCGGATAAATCGGTCGTCGCAAGGAGGAGAAGTCGCAGAAGCGCGTCTGCGATTTTCGGCTGGCTGAGTGGGTGAGTATAGGTGGATGATTGATCGGATCTTCGACAACAGAAAGTCGCTGCTACTCTCGCGGAGTAGCGAGCGAGCAACAAACTGGCTCGATAAACAGCACGACATTCGCGAACTATGAGTGGGTGGGGGCAGGAAACAAATAACACGAACAAGTGTCACCCACGAAAGTGTGTAAAACCAACGGAAAAACAAAAAGGATAAACTATAGACGGAACGTAACGCGTGAGCGAAGAAACAAGAGTCTCCGTGGTGACCGAATCGTGTCCCGAAAGGAGTTGTGTCCTTCCGCCGATCGCTCGAGCGTTCTCTGCCCTAGGAGCTAATTACTACTTTCTCGCTCGGTGCAAAACGAGTGGACAAACAAAAAGAAAATACGAAATACAGAGATAAGAAAACCAAGACTAAAAATACGGAAGGAAAACGCGAACAATTATTCTTCTCTTCTTATTTCTTTTTTTCTTCTTCTTCTTTCGTTCTTTCTTTCTTTCTTGCTTTTTTTTGTGCGCCTGGCAGCATTTCTCGCTTTTTTCTCGTTCTTTTTTTTTTTGTTGTTTTGTTGTTGTCTCACGTGTCGTTTCTACTGCTCTGTTCTCGCCCAATTTCGTAGAAATCTTGTAAAACTTATGAGGTAGCGAATGTGTATTACGCGAATTCCTTCTCTTCAACAACTATCTATCCCTCGGTCGCGCGGCCACGGAGCGCGTGAACGAAACAAAATGGGGAAATTCGCTTGCATCTGCGTCGACGCGTGAAGCGCCTGCTCCGTGCGCGCCTTTTCTTTCGATCTCCCTCCCGGAAACGGCTATTTTGGGTTTTAGTATTATTAATCTCGTCTCGACACTCATTGTTATAAACGTCGCGCCGGCAGCGTCCGATAGGCCGCCTCGTCCCGGCGTGTTGGCAGTGTGGGAGCAGCCTTACGTGTGATAGTGTTACTATCGCGAGGAACGATCGATGGATCGATCGTGCCTTGAATCGAGCCTGACGGCACGGTGGATCTTGATCGACTCGTCCCCAGGAAAATGTGTCTGTTTTGTCGTTCTGTTTTTTTTTCTTTCCCCTCTTTTGTTTCTCGGTGATTCGTCGCATCGTAGGTTAATTCTGCATTATTTTTGTAATAATGCTAAACTGATCGATTACTGATTACAATCTCGCGATCACAAGCGCGCGGAGGATTGGATTCGAATGTGGAACAGTCGCAGTTTGCGAGTCGCGTTTGCCGAATTGTGAATCACGAGTCGAGATCGTTTCCCACCGTGCGATCAGTTTTGTAATGTAATCGTCCCTTAGCGTATATAATCAGTCGCAAAAGTTGGATAGCAAAGTGAGACGAGGCGCACCTGGACGGACGAGGCTGCGTACAAAATTGCTAATTGGCGCTCCATTTTTTACTCTTACACGCACACACACACTCTCTCTCTCTCTCTCTCACACTCACTGTGTTTTTCATACACACACGCACTCTCTCGCTATCCTCGCACGCGCGCATTCTCTCAGCCTTTCTTTCCCCATCTCTCTCACATCACTCGCCCCGTTCGACGAACGGCTATTTACGGGTTGCACATAATCTGGCACGTCGACTCTAATAATCCGCCTCTCTCACGTTAATTATATATAAGTTTAAGCTTTACATATAATATATATCTATGTACAACAGGTGTATAGTGTATATGCGCTGCGTAACTATGTATACATAGGTATATTTCTCGGGGTTCTGGGGTGGGGGGAGGGGGGAAGGGTAAATGCAGTGTAGAGAATAAGTTACATACCCGCGCGGTTCTTCGTCATAATGCCCATCATTGGCAACAATAAGATAATAATAGATAATACACCGAGACTCCCTTCAACGGGCTCCCACCGTCGTCAATGCTATTCCTTCACCCATTTCGCTCTACTTCCTCTCATTCTAGTTCCCTAACTCGGCTTACAGTTACTTTATATCTTCTCATTTCTTGCCTCGGCGTTAGCTAAGCTTCCTTCTCTCTTTCTCATTCATTCCTCTCACACACTTGCTTCATTCATTCATCTCTCTTTCTCTCTCTCCCTTACTTCCTCTGTTCCTATCAACCGGTATCACGCCTAAGAGCTTATCTGATATATCATTTGTTTAACGATATCACTTAAACCCGTCACAGTAACAACAATGCCCAGTTGTGTACAATAAGGCCTTCGATTGCCGCCGCGTGTCCGGTTCCAGAACAGTTTTGTGCGCCGAAAGGATGTCGATCCAATTTGGTTGCCAAAATGCGAACGTCCAAGTCGCGACGCGAGGTGTCTGGATAAGAAGGATAATAAAAGCGCGACGTCGCTGAGCTGCCCAAACTCTGAACTTTGATTCTTGCCTGAAATCAACGTGCTCGATATCGTGGTCGCCAAACAGTTTTTACTTGATGAAGCTCAGTTCTTTGGAAGATGCCGAATTAACGTGCAAGTGATCTCGAGATATCAATCCGCAATCTCTATCCAGACGCTCTCGGGGCGAATCGACGTTCCATCGTCACGGCTCTCCTTCGAGCATAACATTCGCCGATCTGCGAACGAGACCGGTCGAGTGAACCCGAAGCGAGCGTTTCGATTGCCTGTGCAATTTTTTCCGGCGGCCCTACCACCACGTCCTATGCACCCGATTCGTACTTACTCCACGTCTCTTTCTCTCTCTCTCTCTCTCTCTTTCTCTCTCGCTTTCGAAATCCTAATACTAAAGCCCAAAATAATCTACCACTTCTGGCTCTGCTACTTTACACTTTGTCTCTCAGTTACCCCCCAAAAGAAAGAAACTTAGACGCGAGCGCGATCCACGTCCCAGCTTTACACCTCGAACGGGGAGCGCGCGACGCGCATCAATGTTAGATTACTCTTAAATCGTCCCTTATATCGCTATTTATTAATCATTATTATTATTCATTAATCGCTATCATCAGTTACGAGAAGTATCCTGCAACCTGTTTGAGTTCCGGAGGGGTCGCGTCGCGCGACCCTGGACGCGAATTGCCATTCTTAGCTCCTTACTATTGTGCTCGCGACCGCGATCGCGGTGATGCGGGATCGATGAACAATTGTTCGACTTGCTTGCATACCGTAGTATACATATACATATATATATCTATATATACATGTATACATATATATATATAGATTTTCTTTCATATATATCGATATATAATATCTTGCTCTTTCTCTCTCTTTTTCTTTCTCAATGCCGGTGAATAATGCGTGTTGTAGTAGTAGTAGTAGTAGTAGTAGTAGTAGTAGTAGTAGTAATAGTAGTAGTAGTAGTAATAGTAGTAATATTGGTCGAGAAGCGCCGGTTTTCTCCGTCTCTCTCCCCTCTCTATGTGTGTAAGCCTGTAGCTATCCTTGTATGCGCGCTACTCTGTGTACAGCGTGTCTCTCCCGCGACAGGCGCGCGGATTCCCGGAGACGAGCGGTCGCAACGAGGTCCGGCGATTCTCTTGGTCGAGAGGCGACGCGTTCCGCTCGCGAATTGTCCTGTCAAAGTCGTGCACGGGGCGCCGCCTCGACCTCGCGCGATCTTCGCTCCTCGCGGTCCGTCACCGTCGTCCAGACGGGGAGAGAATGTCGGCCAGTTGCGGAGGAACTCTGTGCCAGTGTCTCGTTTATACTTTCTCTTTTTGACTCGGCCGGACGTGCGGGTGGGCGCGTCCGCGCTCTGCGTCGCGTTGACGACTGGTCCTGACTTGCGATTGATCGGTCAACGAGGACGAGAGAGCCTGCTCCTGAGCGGCCCTGCTGGGCCGCTCCTTCGGCTCCCTGTCTCGCTAGCTCTGTGTCTTGCTCCTTCTTTTTCTCTCTTTTTTTGTCTGATTTGTTTGTTTTCCGTCGTGGAAAGTCCGATATGCTGTGCGAATCGCGTAGCTGTTACGCGTTAGACGCTCCTCTTTCCTTATTTTCCTCTGTCCTGTCTTTTTCCCTTTTTCTGGTCTTTCCTCCGTCTCTCTCGCGCTCGTCTGAGAGACTCTGCTCTCCGACTCTGTATCGACTTCTCTTCCTCTTCTTCTGCTTGTGTGATTTCGCTCTCGTAGGAATACGCCGCGTAGAATTGTGCTACCTATCATCCATCGTCGACGCGGATCCCATCCTATATAAGCGTGCACGTGTGTCTTGTTTTAGTCTTCAAGTCCCGTTGCTCAGCGCGAACTCGGTTAAATGTGACCTTTCCTGCGGTTGACGATCCCTCGACTCGATGCCCGCGTCAACAGACGTCTCGTTGATGTCCTGTCGATTTCTACACGGTGTCCTCGCTACGCGAACAGGATTGCGAGCCGGGTACGAAGAACAGTGTGGCGAAGATGGATGGATGTTTCCGGTGATGAGAGTTGCGCGTGTGAGAGTCATCTTTTTTTGGAGAAACATCGACGATGTCGGACGTTCGTGTAAAGAAGAAACATAAAGTACTCATTGTTCTTCGACGTTCGCGTGATAGCTGAAGTGTTTTTTCCCTTTCCTATTTTCTTTTTTTTTTTTTAAATGCCTTTTGCCTTCTTCTGACGCTGATTCGTTAATTTTTCCTTAAAATTCCTTTGCTTCCGATTAGTTATGATGATATACATATGTATATATATGTTCCCGTCCTCTTTTTCTCGACGGATCCTGGCGGTCGATTAGTGTGCGGTTTTTGCTTTTCGCTTAATTTTCCATCTTTTTTTTTCTCTCATTTTTTTTTCTCGTTTGTGCTCGAACTCTCTTAATCTGCCGGGATGTACAATCTTAGCTTAAGCTGCGTGCTTAGTATAATCCTCGCCTCTTTACGTCCTAAAATCGGTAAAGCGCGATTTTCCGACGGTAAAATACTCTAGAATACTAACATTTAGCGATAACTTGATTTTGTACATTTGTTTGTCGGTATTTCTACCAGTAGATTAAGTTACTTCTCGCTTCTCTCTAATCCGCGTTCTTCTCTCTCGCGAGCCCGCGCAATAATTTATAACGTTAAAAATCTTTTTCACTTTTCAGTTATAATTATTAATATTAATAATTTTATCTATTCAATCATCGCGTTTTCATTTTTGTTATTTTTGTTTGATTTGTACATTTTCTTCTTCTTCTCTCGAGCGTGCGAGCGGTTTGTCTCTCACTTTCTCTCTCCGTTTGTTTTTTTTCGCTTTTCTTTTTTTCCCTTTTTACCTTTGTTTTCTTCGTAGCGTTTCTCAAGTGCTGAGGAATCGGCCGAACAATGTTTCCCTTCTTTTGTTTCCCAATCGATGAGGCTGCCTCTCTGTGCGCGTATCTGTTATCCCTCCGTCTCTATTTTCTCTTTCTCTTTTTCTTTCTCGAATGAAAAGCGTGCGGTTCTCATTAGCAGAATTTCTCTTCCAATTTAGTTGCTTCATTTTGTTCCAATTTATCCGAGTGCTTTCCTTGTCTGATCCGTAATCCGTCGAAAAGAATTGCCGCAACGAAAAGTGTCCGAAGTCTCGATGAACGAGCGAAAAGTGCGATTTCACGTGCGGGGGCGGACCGTTGCGCGTCCACGGGGAGAAGAGGGCAACGCGTTTTCGCGGGATTTCACGAGTTACCTGTATCCGTTTCTCACTGCGAGGCGTATAAAAAAAAAAAGTGATAGGATTCTGAAACCTTAATCCGCGTTTTCGAGCAATTATTATATTTTTCCGATTTTGGTGAACTTTTTGTTTCCCCTTCCTCCAAATACAAAGTGCCAAATAGTTTGATATACACAATCTCATCCCGACAACGTATAACGCACACATTCTACGGTACATATGTTAATACAAAAATCAGACGGATCAATACAAGGTCCACAAAGGAAACTTGTTTCTCTCTAAAACGCTGAACGCGCCTCGTTTCTCCCCGGAGCGAATGTCTAGTTTCTTCAATTTGACGATACTCCGAATAGGGGGTGGGATAGGCAACATCGCCCATGTCGAAGACCGGCTCGACGAGGTCCTCTGGGGTGTGCTCTGTCGTACCCCGCGGATCTCTCCCCGGCGACGACGGATCTCTGGGCGATTCTCTCCTCAACGACTTGGAATTTCGATGCTTGTGGACCAAAAGGAAATCGTAAAGCGATCTTGAAGTAGCGTAAATGATTCTTTCGACTATGAGGATAAAGGAGGGTTCTCCTGACTTTTCTTCTCGTTTTTCCTTTTTTTTTGTTGCTTTCCCTCTCTTTCTTTCTTTCGCTTCCTTCATCTGTACTGCTTACTTGTTTCTTCTCTCTTGACTGTATTCTGCGCTTCGTTGTTTGCGATGAATTTCCGCCTCTTTCTCTCTTTTTCTCCATCGTTCCTGTTTTCGTTCTGCTGTTTACTCTGCGATCTATTGCTGCTTTGTGCTGTATGTCGATTTTTCGTTTACTGCCCATGTTACTGTACGTGCGTATCTCTTGGCACTTCCTTCCGTTTCGCAATTTCTTCCTCTTTTTTTTTCGTTTTTTTTTCTTTACAAGCTTTAATACAAACTTCCTTCTCTCACTATCACTTTTTATCTCTCTCGTCGTTTAAATATTTACGCTTCATAAATAATCGCGCGTCGGGCGCGAGTCCGCGGGCGAGGTAAAGGGTAACACACGATAGGTGTGGGGTCCCTCGCATAAAACTACGAGGTTCCCGTACCGGGCGACGTCGACGACCTCGCCGAGCGGAGCCGCGACCGTCGTATATCTTCGAAAAAAATATATTACTAAATATATTATACAAATTTAACCCCGCTAAAAAATCTCCTTTTTGTCACGATCCCAAAAAGCGAGCGAGCGCAGCGAAAAAAGCTGCGCGTCGCGCCCTGATTAGTCCCTCGATTAATCTCTAATCTTTTCTCTATCTCTCTTTCCCTTTCTCTCTCTTTCTTATCCCTCTTTTTCCGTCTTTTCTGTCCTCTATAACGTTAACTTATCTGTTCTCCCGCGAAAAACACTCCGCTTCGCCTCTCCTTTCTCTTCTCTCTTCCTCTTTCTGTCTCTCTCTCTCTCCCTCTTATCTTACATTAAAAAGAAATGTTTTTCGCCTATCCCTCTCACTCTTTTCTCTCTATATCCTCTCTTCTCACGCTCTTAATATCGTTAAAATTCATTAAGTTATTAAAAAACATCTAACAAAAAAGACATTGAAAAAGAAAAATTCGCTTGAAGTTCTTCTAACAATCTATCAAAAATAAATCTAGACTCATTCTCTTCCTCCTGTGTCAGACTCATTTTCTTTTTCCCTTCATCCTGTGTCTCTCGCATCTCTCGTACTTTCCCTCGTACTTTCCTTACTCAGCGTGCTAGCGCGCACGTCTTCCCGACGCCTTTCACCCTCGCGCGGCACAGTGGGCAGGCAAGAGGAAGCCGTGTAATCTCGTCGCGCATTCGGCGCTAAATACCAACGTCACCAATGCCGATGCATCTCGCCTCACCGCCGTCGTTTCAGGCCCCGTAAACTGGGCTGGCTACTGTGAACTTCGTCCTCAGAAAATCAGCATCACAGGCTCCAGACCGTCCGCGATTCAAGATTCGATCGACGTGGACGCGCGGACCGTCGTTCGACGTTCGCATTTAGCTACCGCGACTACGACGAGAGAGTAGCCTCCACTTCCCGCTGCGAGGAGTCTGGATCTAATCGATTATGACACTTGCGCAGGATAACGTGCGCGCGCGCACGCACACTCCAGAAACTCAGTCCTCAGCCTTCCCCGAAAGAAATAAAAAACAAAAATGATTAAACACGATATTATACCTCTCTTTACCCCCTGATCCTCTTAATAATCGTTTTGCCTTATTTGTGTATTTTTTGTACTAAACACATATCGAATGCCAGGTTAGCCGGCAGGCCCGAGGGCGGGCCCGTCGTGTCGCCGAACGTGGGCCCGTTTGAGGGCCCACGTGCCGGTGGAGCGGTCTCGGTTTTGCGCCGACAAAGCTTGACAAGATCGAGTGGAAAGTTAGTCTTCTCCGCGACGTGTTCTCGTTTAAATAATCGCCGGTGATAAGTCGACCTGTCCAGCCTGACGGCGCGAGACCGCGCGCCTGTGTTAGTCCGTCGTGTTTGTTGAATTTTGTTGGTCACGCTTAACAACTCTTCTCTGCGGGGGAGGGCGATTTACTCTTTACTTCGAATCCGATATTCTTTGTTTCATACATCTCGCGCGCTCGACATTCGAGACGCGCCGATCGAAATCGCTCGCGCCCTACGCATTCTTCTTTCTTCTCTCTTGTTAACGATCGGACGCCTCGGCCCGATCGTGCACGCTGTTTCTCTGACAGTTGTGGTTCGCAGAAAATACAGAGCTCGCAATTTCGTCAGGACGCGCCCTCACTGGAGGCACTCCACTCGACGCTCGTCGGCGACGCAGCGCCCGCGAGATGAGCGCCGAGAGTGGACAGCGCGAGTGACGTAACGTCCCGCGGTAATTCCTCGCTTGGCCGCCTCATCTAAGCTCCCCTCTCTTCATCTCGCCCTTGCCCCCATCAATTCGATCGCGTTAAGCCTAAATTTGTCCGCCTTTTACTTCGTCGTTTAATTCCTAATTAGTAATCAATTACTTATCAATAATTATTAATCAACACACGCACACTCACACACTATTACATTCCTGATAAAGTAAAAATTTTCTCAACCGATTTGTAAATCCCGGTTTGTCTCTTTCCTTTTTCTTTTTCTCTCTCTCTCATACCTTCTTCCTCGTTCGCGCTTTCTCTCATTCTCTCTCATTCTCGCTCGCTATTCTTCACGTTACCGACAGTCGCTCTTTCTCTCTCTCTCTCACCTTTTTTATCTCTCTCTTTCTTTCATCCTCTCTTTCCTTTTCACTCTCCTCGTGTCCTCGAAACGTTCTTTAGTAACGTTCCTTAGAAACTTAGCACAAAACGGCGTCCGTACCGATCGTATTACCGATCCGATACAACGCTGCTCGCGGACTCTCGTCTCCTCTTCCGATTCCTCATCTCTTCTCTCCTTGTCTTCGTCGTCATCAATCATCACTCATCTGCCAAGCGACTCGATGTCTCGTCGGCGCTGTTTTCGACATCCCGATGACCACTCGTCGATCTCTCCCCTCCCGGATTGGCGGGTCTGACCCCTCTCTCTCACTCTCGTGGCTCTTGGTGAGGAACTTGAGGCGAATAGAGCGTGCACGACGCATTTCACTTCACTAATACGAAAAAACTCATAGTCGCTTCTTCTTTGGTATTACGTGGTGCGAGGAGGGGCGGGTTGGGGTGCGCGGGGGAGGCTCACTTGTCTTCTCCTCTTCTCTCGAAGCATCCTGGCTTTGCTGGTCTAACGACCGGGAAACGGGTATGCCGTTCCGCGGTCCACGGTCTCGATATTATTTTTTTTCAAGTCTTCGTATTAATCGTTCAGTGTCTCTGAAATCTGGTATAAAAAACTGTACCTAGCTTTGTGTTTTTTGCTTTTTTGTTAAGAAAAACCGCTTTCCTCCTGTAGTACTATATAATAAGAAGTAAGTAAATAGTATTATAGCGATAATAGTAATAGAGTAGATAATAATAATAGTATTAATGGTAGTAGTAGTTGCAGTAGTAACAAGTATAACGTAATATAACCATATTACGTAACGTAATTGTTACTAAACTTCTTTGTATATTATTAATAACTTTAATATTAGATAGACTTTTTTTTAGATTAATCGGTTTATCGCGCGTTTCATTTCCTCTATCGTTATTAAATCTTTAACCGTAATGCAATGAGGTAATAAGGTTGTGATTTTATCCATTTTATCCTCTTTCTTTATCAGTTTGTTCTCGTCGTCTTATCCTATTTCATCGGCGGCGGTGGTTTCGTTAGCGCTGTGAAATCGGGTCGTGCGCCTGTCGCTTCGTCGCTGTCGCGGGGTGCAGACGCGAACGAGTTCGTGTGCGGTGGGGTTTGAAGACGCAATGCGCAGAGCGGAGAGGAAAACGACGTTGGTCCTCGCCAACAAGAACAATCGAGTATTCATAGCGCTGTTTTACCTGTCTAGACAAGACAGATAATTCACCAGGCGCGCACCTCCGTTTGGCGCATGGCGAACACGCTTCGTTCCTGTGGTCGGTCTTTCTATCTATTTGGTGTTTATTTTATCGTGAGAGAGAGAGTCGCGAGTCCGATCTCGCGACCACCAACCAAGTGCCACGATCGACCTCGCGATGAAACGTTCCCATTAGCGAGTTACAAATGTATTTACCGCGCGAGTTGGCAGGAAAGGTCGACCGTGGCAGCCGCGCAGCGAGCCAAACCAAACGGAGGGCCTGGCATCGTTGACTCTTTAAATTAACCGTTCTAATCAAGCCCTTGAATTCTTTAGAATCAAAGGCCTCGTTCAAGTTCTGAGAATTAACTCTTGGCGCTAAACTGTCTTTATATGTCAGCTCTAACTGTGTCTCTCTCTGGGAGCTGTACGAATTAACCCCTAAGAGTTCCGTTCGGTTGACTCATCGCATTTAGAATCCTCAAACCGTCCCTAAGAATTGGCCGTCCGCAGGCTCACATAGGAAGGCGAGCCGCAGGCTTCGGAAACCCTCGGAATTAATTCGCGGAGCTAGAGTCGCAAATCTAATGCGGTGATCATTTCGTCCTCTTTCTCTCCCGAACAGCGCTGAGTTAATTCACAGAACATTGTCGTGCGCGCGTCTTCCTGTCGCGATCTGCGCGCCGCGCACTCTCTCGTTCGAACCCTCCCCTGATTGGGAGTAGGGTTAGGGTAGCGCGCGCCCCGCGAGAAGAGGAGGTGGTTTGCGATAAGCTCGGCCTCTCGACGAGAGAGAATGTCAAGGCGACGACGAGGCCACTCCGGCGAATAAAACGGATAGGCGTGTGTGGCGTCGGTCGGCGTCGGTTGGGTGTCATCAACGTTACTGAGGCGTCTGCGGCGGTTGTGCCGGCGACTGCGGCTGCTGCATCTGTTGTGGTTGCTGCGGCTGTGGCGATTGCTGCGGCTGTGGCGGTTGTTGCTGCGGCTGTTGGTCCTGGCTAGATGGCGAGCCGCTTGGTTGCTGTTGAGTGCTGGACTGCGACGGCGTGCCGCCTTGGGAAGTGACACTGCCGTCTCTTCGTGAACGGGAAGCACCTTCTTGGCTGCTACCGCGACCAGCACGCGAGCCAGCAGCGCCGCTTCCGCTAGGAGCGCCCGATTGTAAGACCATGGCGCGGATTCTTCTCTGTGCCGACTGCGAGATAGAATAAACGGATTACTTCATGAGTCTCGCTGCCTTGTGCTAACTACTAGGTTGTAGTCTTTTTGTTCAAAATTATTAACGATATTGAAGCAATATAATCTCGTTATGTCTCTATAATGCTTATGTATCATGAGGGAGACTCATCTTAACAGAGTCGGCTAGCTTACTTGAACGCTGAAGAAGGGGCCAATGATATGGACGGTGGTCTCCTCGTCAGCTGAGGGAGGAGTGGCCTGTTGCTCCGACAATTTAATGACGCTCCCAGTCACACGTTGCAACTCCCTTACATTCTGACCGCCTTTACCAATAATTCTTCCAACCTGGGCACTGGGCACGAGAATCTCGATGGTCAATCTCACGTCTTCAGTACCAGAGACATAGCCTTCTTCACGCATCTTCTCAAAGATCAGATATTGAGCCTGAAAACGTAGTTCCCAATGATGTTAGAAAATCGCCGAGTGTGCGAGGTAAAAGAAAAAGAAAAAAAAAGAAATTGTCGAAGGGTCAAACGGGACCGATTCACACATCGTTGTTACATGTGATCGGTACGGGGCCCTTCTTTGATATTCCTGCTGATTTCAAGTTGATGCATAGAACAACATCCACCCAAATGTAGCAGGATAAGTCTAAGAACAACTTTCGGGAGCTCGAAGAAAGCAAGTTAAAGTTACGAGGTATTTCCCAAAAGCGCGCGCGGACTCGGTGGGACTTGAACTTACGATCTTTCGGATGGTGGGACGACGCGATACGTATCTGCCAGTGTATGGCATTGAAAGTATGCAAACGTTAAAGCGCCTCACAGGCGATCATCTCGATAGTTTAATCGTATCAATGCAAATCTGTTGATACGTCTTGGAAGTATTCGTCTCGTGTCTTAAATGCATCGTATCAATGAAAAAGCGACATCAAGAATGTATTCTTCGCTTTTAGATACTTATTGGAATATACGGAAAAGTATATTCTTCTATTACAACTTCTATACAACTTCTATTTTTATTCAAACTTTTACTCTCGTATCAAGATTTACTTCATTATGTGATCGTGCACTGAGATAGACGTGAATTTAAGGGTCTTCGTGTGCAAATTTGAGAAATCGTAGCATAGAAATTAGGCATACGAATCGTAGAATAGAGAAGACTAAAAAGTTGTGGAAATGATATCGATCGCTCACCTTCCATTGAGACTCCGGTGATCCCACGATAGTGACCTTTCTCTCGGTTTGCTGCTCGGCCGGTTTGTCTTGCTCAAGCGGCGCGATCTTCACGCTAGCGCCGGAGAACCTGATGATGTTGCGTATGTGCGAGCCCTTCGTGCCAATAATGGCGCCGACACTGTTGTTGGGAATGTAAAGAAAGGTCGTTTCCTGAGTGTCACTGGCTGGGACGCCCTGTTGCGTTTGAAGACTGCCTTGATATGGATACGGAGCTGGCCCAGAACCATAAAGACCTGGTCCACGAGAGCTGTAGCCCATTCCAGCAGTCGACATCATAGCCATGGGATGTAGACCAGGGAACATCATGCTTTGTGGCTGTGATAAGAATAATAATCATGTCAATTTCGAACATTGTCGCGTTTATCTCATTGCATTGAACGTACCTCCCCGCGAGGTCGGTTTATCAATCTTACTAAGCGAAAACTCGATGGAGAATTCGCCACACCGAGTAATCTGATTTTCAATATTAAATATCTTGTTCTTCCTATATATTGACTTTTGAATAAATTCCTCAAAATTTCTCAATCTCAAATGTCATTTATAAGCCATTGGAATTTATGAAATTGTTCCTAACGGTGTTTCAACTTCAAGATTGCTAATATATTTTTGCAAATCTGTACGAATTCCAAGGACTTGCATGCGACATTCAGGTTGAAAGAAGTCGAAAATCGTGTGATGAAACTCACGGCCATGGCTTGCAGGTCATTCTCATAACTTTGACGTAGTTTACTAGAGATCATGGACTCAGCCTTGCTCATGTTCTCGATTGTGCCCTTAACCGTGATTATACGCTCCAGATTGAAGCTGTTAATGTCGTTGATGCTGCTGACAGTGATCTTTGTGTCAGTGTCCTGCATGATTCTCTTGATTGTGTTTCCGCCCTTGCCGATAATTCGTCCAATAAGATTGTTATGCGCTAAGATTTTCAAGGTGATTTCACTGTGGGAAGCAAAAGATGTTTTAGTTGGTGCGAAAATAACCGAAAAGAAAAGATAAATCAAGAAGACTCGATTTGGTCAAATCTGAGATTCTAGGTTTACTCGTTTTATACAGGGCGATCCATAACGGTTTATTCACCCGTAAACCCTTTTGATCTGATCAATCTAGAGTTTCTAGTACAACTCACGAGTTTGACGTGACATAAGCAAATCTACTGTTACAAATACATTAATAGGTCACGTCGAAATCACGTGGATAAAGAGCTTATATACGCTTACGCAGACATCGACTATCGTGGAAAACTTGATTAACTAATTCGACTAATCGATCGACACTAACTAGGAATTTATAGTTCAGTATAACCGTTAGAATAAAATTCTTCGCCGTACCCTTTGTTCGTGTTATTCGCTTCTTGCTGCATCACTTCCAAAATCTTCTTACAAGCGTTGGTGCAGTTGTCTGGATTGCCATAAATGGTAATGGCTTTCTCCAAAGAACCAACGTTGTCCTTGCGATGCACATCGACACGGGCGCGAGACACTTGGGTAATCTGGCGGATAGTCGATCCTTGACGACCAATTATCGCACCAACCATGTCTGACTGAACGAGAATGCGTAACGGAAAATCTGTTTGACGTCCTGAGCCGGGTAAGCCGGAAAAGGCGACGCCGCCGCTGCGTTGGCTGCGGCCTCTTCGTCGGCTCTCTGCCGATGACATCTCAACTTTCAACGTGTGGCCTTCGTAATTGTATCCATTCAACTGACTCAAGGCTCTGCGAATGAAAGTCGTCGAATTAGATCAGCTGTCTACCCGCTGTATCGTGTTTATTAAATGCTGAGTTTTTTAATGAAATAACATTTCGCAACGAATTTTATTAAAGAATTCGTTCTTTAACATACATGACGACGCGCGCGAAACCGCATGAGTTAGTTCAGAGAGAAATTATCGGGAATCATGAGATTGAGCTTCGAGAGTTGATCAAGTAATTTAGGTTCCTAGTGATAGATCGATTGAAACTCTTTTGTGTCGCATGTGAGATAATTATATTTTAATTTGAATAAAATGTAAGATTTTCAGTTGAATCGATTGCAAGTACATTGATCCATATCAATTACTCAAGCTTGTCTCATATAAGATACTCAGATCTGAATGTATTAATTGTTATTACTTAAAACTCGTCTCAAGTGAGAAATTTACATTTAAATTCAAAGTTAGGTGATAATTTTTCAGTCAAATCATGGTTACACACATACATATATATAAACGTTACATATCATTCAACTAAAATATTTGGATCTAATTCTAAATGAAAATCTAAATATTTTACATGACACAAGTCTGCATTAATAGTCTTTACTTGAAACCTCAGGTGAGATACTTAAACTTGAATTTAGAATTAGAATTTAGATTTAGTTTAAGATTTTCATTCAAATTGCAATTACAAATATTATATATATATATATACAAATACACACACATATATTTATATACATATATATACGCAGTACATATATGTATAATATATAAATATAATATATATATATATATATATATATATATATATATATATATATATATATATATATCACATATATTATATAATTGAAAAAAAACCTGAGATCTGAAATTCAAATCTCACATAGGTCAAGTCACAAATAACGACTATTGATATGAATCTTAGAGTTGAGTCTGAGTGTCTTAGTTGAGTCGTACGATACTGAAAACTTCACATTTAACTCTAGATTCAAATCCGAGCACCTGAAGTAAGTTTCAAGTAACAAATATTAATACAGATCATTGTCATTTGTATACCATATATGAGTCAACTGAAACGTTTAGATCAAACTCTAAATTCAGATCTGATACTCGTATTAATTTATTTGTCTTTATTTGAATATTGTTTCATAAGTAACACCTTGTCCACAAACTTGCTTAAATCTTTAAGCCATTATTTTAAAAATAATCAATTGTGATTGGTCAATTTTTTACGGCTTAAGAATTAAAGCAAGGTTGTAGACAAGGAGTAAGACATTTAGATTTGAATTTCGAGCTAGATCTGAGTTTTTTGAGTTTGGAATCGACGTGATTTAACGACGTAAATCGTTAAATTATAAATATACAGTACCACGTATATCGTATAACCAAACTAAAAAAGCTCAGATCAAACTAATTTCAAGTACAGACCTGAGCGTGTCAGGTGAGACAAGCTCCCAGTAACGACTGTTAATACGGACCTGGGCATCCCGAGTGAGACAAGATTCAAATCGCGACTGTCAATACAGGTCTCGGCGTTAAACGTCGCGCAAATTCACGCACCGGTGTGCGCGCCCAACGAACGTTCGCGATCTCTCGCGGCGAATAAAAGCACCGCCGCATCGCGAAAGGCATCGACCTCAATCGCGAATTATTAATCACCATGAGCGATCGATCGATCGATCTCGCGCGCACGGAGAGAAAGCAGCCGTCGGAATACTCACTGTTGTGCCTGGTCTTGCGTCTCATAGCTGACGATGACGGTCTGCGTGTTGGAGTCTCGCGTCGGCACTTTCTCGACGTTCTGTACCGGGCCGTAGCTCAAGAAGAACTGTTCGAGATCCTCCAACCGGGTCTGGGGCGGCAGATTGCTCACTAGGGTCTTGGCGGTGCCGCTGCTGCTGAAAACAGAAAAGTAACGACCGAGATTAGGCGAGTCGTTTCGCGGCTGACTGCGAGTCACCGTAAGAAGAACATTAGAAAGTAAACGAGGCGATATTTTATAACGTACGCGCGCTTGCTCGCTTACATAACTTCTAATTAAACGGCTCGGTTATGTCACATATCGTCATATTGTGTAAAATATAGATATCTGGATCGAAGGGTCGATAATTATGTCGTTATACAACTTTGTGATGAATATTTACATGGCTTTGGATGTGCGCGTGCCAATATCGTGTGTGTGTGTGTGTATGTACATGTGACGCGCGCGTGTGAACAAGACAATAATGTAACGAGTGATTATGCGATACTTATGAATTTCTAAACATATTTATCCAAAATTCAAATGTACACGGCTCATTTGTACACGTTCAATTGTATAACGCTTTTAGATAGATGTTAATATTGCATCTCATACTCATCGCATTCGACGTTTCCTTTCATTTTGCTGTCTAGATTCGGATAGTCCAAGAGAAGTAGTGACCGTAAGTGAACGCAGAAGATTGGCCACGTAAGTGCCCCGAGTCGAGCGCAACTCCCGATTGACAGGATTACACGGCAGTGGGGTCGGCTAGATCCCAACCATAATCACTAATAAACTTTGAAAGCCGAGCCGTAACCTAGCGAGAAGTCGTCGGTTGTTTACATCGCGTTTCACGATGTTGTTATTTCGCGACTCGACCGGTTACGTTTGCCGACGCGCCGCACAAATTATTGTTGTAATTATATATTAGCCTTGATATCACTATTATTGTCATATAACGTTGCAACTACTTTTATTGTCAAGTTAGTAATAATAATAGTAAGTTTTTATCAATATTATTAGCGCTATTACTATTTTTATTTATACTATTATTTTTAAAGACTATCATAACTATTATCAGTTTATCTATAATTATTATTAATTATTACTATTATTATTACAAGTTATTTATAAATTTAATATTTTACGAATAACATGCTCGATCGAATTTTGCCGAAATGATTCGTTCGACAGATTTATTAAATTAATTGTTACAATTATAAATGTACGAGCGAAATGTGGCAATTTTTCCGGAGACAATTTGCATGTTTGCGTATTCCTTGTCGTATTTTCAAGGCAAACTTTCTGATGATAGGATTTTCGATCGAATGTCATGTTTAATTATATCTATTAACCGACGTAGAATGCTTCGTTCGAGGAGTAGGAGTATTTCGCGTTTGCATATTCTGTTTGCTCCTCATTTACGAAATTTTCCTCGACGAGAGCGCGTTACTTGTGTAGAATACTGTCAATAATATTCGCGTGCAGGACGGCGTTGAAAAAATAAGTCAATATTAGGAGGAACGAGTATCCGAAAATATATACAACATATTGTGTATACTTAGGACTCTAAATTCGATTTCTCGAATTTACAATTTATGAGTTTGGAAAAAATTAAACGTTCCTTGTTCAATCTCTCGCAAAAACTCATAAATTTTAAATTGAACGAGAAATATTTAATTTCTTCAGATATAATTTGAATCGATTTAGATGTGATCAAGGCTTTTTGCATTCTTGAGTTTGTTTTTAATTCGAAGAAATTCTCTTCCCACGATCAAGCATCTGTTACAATGACAGTCGAGTGTTTTGTTAAACAAAACAAATTTTTAACAAAACGACATTCAAATTTGAGACATCTCATTTAGAATCTTTGTAAATATGATCGTAAAGTAATTTCAGAACTCGATTAACGTGCGCCAATCAAGATTTATCTGACGGTCCCTTGCCGTAGGTCATCAGGAAATATTGTGTTTGTCTTTGTATAATCGTGAGAAACAAATCTAGTTTGCTCGTGCGGGTATCGAGAGAGAAATTATCGCCGATGTTAGCGAACGTGTTAAGTGGAATTGGAATTTTCTTATGAAGACATTCTGCGCAAAGATAAGCTCGGGAGATTAGCGCGTCACGCATATGTAGCGAACGTGTGAAGATATTCCAGTCACCGAGAGAACTTTGTTGAAAGCTTTGTTTGCTCCGCGGCGCGGTACAACAGGTGCAACGACGTTGCGAATCGACGAGGAAGGCGGATTACTATCGCGAGCGAGGCTGCCAAAGGCAGCCCTCTCACGCAATCGTCTCACGCGGGATTCGTCTCGGGTGACAGATAAACGATGCGTCTGTTCCCGTTTCGGCCGACACTCCGTTCACGCCTGCACGGGCGTGCATTGTACACGCTGCACATCTCGGTGCATCGGCGCGGCCGCGACTACATGAATGAACCAAACGGCAAGTAAGAAGAGGACGCGGCGCGGCACGGCGCGAAGAACAAAAAGGAGGGTGGAACGACCGAGGGAACGACTCTCGCTTTCGTAGGTATCGATTTTTCAACGGGCCGACCCACTCATCGCCGGTGCCGCGGCGAGCTTTCGAGCAACCTTGAAGAAGACGCGGCGAACGACCCACAGGACGAACCAACCAACCAACCAACCACTGCCCATCCACGCACACCGACCCCGTGTCCGAGGATAAAGCTTCATCACGAGCTTTCGAGAAATAATGCAATCGCTCCATCCACCCACGCGTAGGCCAGATTCGCCACGCGACAGGGAATTGTCACCTCGATCGGAAATTGGATCGACCGACCTTCGCCAACGTCGCCATCCAGAGATTAGCAGTCTTCAGGCTTGCCTTTAAGTGTTCTCTAAGACGCATCAGCTGTTTTTGCGATAAGAGTGGGCTTTTTAGTTCATTCCACAAATTATTGACAAGGCATTTCCGCGGAACAAAACTAACTGGAAGCGAGTACCGATGTGATTCGTGTGGGTGTATGTTCCACTGTCTTCTTGAATTATACCAAACGACTTATCGAGCCTTTCCGTGTATCATAAAAATAACTTACGCCGGGATAGCGAAATGTGCACGATACACGCGAGACGCATCGCCGGTCGCGCTTTGCACTTACGTGCAGCAACGAGCGTCATTCTATATTTATGACAGTTTACGTATTGAACAGAACACACAACTGCGGCATCGCGAATTCATTTAACCGACGAGTTGGCGATCGATAACGCTACAATGTCAGCCTTAACTCGGATACGCATTATCGAATCTTGCTTTCAGGATGAAGTCTTTCGTATCGCGCTTATCATTCTGAAATCAAAGGGGACTCTTTTATATCGTTACTATTTAAATCGTACGCTTTCTCTTATATGTGTAATTTTTCATGGGCAATTATATGAAGTACTCGAATCTTCTAAAGAGGAATTGCGAACAGATGCGTTGGTTCGGAATGTAAGGTAGTTGTAAGTTAGTTTAGGATTCCCTGTAAAATTGTAATCTGAAGAGGATCAGTAGATCCTTATTAATTACTCAGATCTTGTGATAACGAATGCACGCAGCCCGAAAGGGTTGCACTCTCCCGCGTTTCTTTTTCACTTGGTCTGACTCGCTTACTTCGTTTAATTGTACACTGGGAAAAAAATAACGAGGGAATATTTCTTTGGTGGTATTGATAACATACTTCAAATGTAAATTTTTTTATTTCAACAGACTAAAAACGACTGTTTTCATGAAAAGTTAAGGTTTCCTTCTCCTTTGGAGAAAAAATGTATTTATTTTTTATTTTACATATCAGTAAAAAAGTAAACATGTTATTAGCATCTCCACTGAATAAATATTTATTATTGTTTAGATATTTTTTCCTTCAGTGTGAAGCGTGCTCAACCGAAATAATACTCGTCGTTGGATCTCATCTGGACCCGGAGACTTACGTGGAGGAGAACGCGTTCTGCCACAGCTAGGGATTTATCACACCGTGGCAAATCTCGTCGGGCCGAGATCGCGACTGAGCGGAATATTCGCGAAAAAGGAAGGAACAAGTGCACGTTCGCAAAATTAACGGATAAAGAAGAGGAAGAAAGAGGGATGGAGAGCGACCGGGGTGGCGGAGACAAAGATGCACTAAACGCGCGCGGGTGCTCGTGCACGCGAGGAGGCCGGGAGAGACCGGGAGGGATGATATGACGGGCAACGGACAAAGCGGGGGCGCGGGAGGGATGGCCTTTGTTTCGCGTACTTCGCTTTAGGGGATTTTCGGCGGCATCCGTGGCGTATAGCGCGAGGTGCGTGCAAGGCCGCGCCGTCTGCCTCGTGTGGTGGTGGTCCTCCCCCGCCGCCCGCAATCTACCTACGTCCTCCTTCCTCTCTCCCGCGCCCTGCCGCCACCCGAGCCACCCCCTTCAACCCTTTCGCACGCACGTGTGACTCGCCCGGCGATTTCGTCGGGTCACCTTTAACGAAAGGCGGCGGGTTTTCGCGAGGCAGGCCGGGAGACGGAAGAGGGACGAAGAGGGCGCAGAGAGGGGCTGTGAGGAGAGAGAGGAGTGGGCGAGAGAGACGGAGATAGAGAGGGAGAGAGAGAGAGCCTTTGCGGACAGGGATGGACCGCGGCGGGTCACCCCCGTGGAAGAGCTTTTGATGTCCCGGCCTAAGACACCTTTTTTCGGATACTCTTTTTCTTCCTTCTGCCACCCCCTCTCCAATGGTTTTTTGCCGATTAACGAACCGGTGGAGCGAGCAGAGTGGCCGTGGCTCCGGGGAGCGGGGCTGGCCAGGTGGATTGAAAGCGCGGCCGAGTCGACCGAAAATTTCGAGAGTGATGATGCGACGCGATCTGTGGAACTTCCTCGCTCGGAAAATTGCCGTGGGCCCTGCCGTGCGGGTGTAATCAGCACGTCCGAGTGTCATCGCGAATCGTTCTTTTATCTGTGCTGTGTCTAATGGCGCGAACTGCAGCACGCACCGTGGCGCGTAATACATATTATCGCAAATATAAATATGAATGTATGTGCACATCGCGGGTCAGAAGGCTCCCCGTCCTACGGTGAGAGTGCTTTCGCGATGCTTTCCGGCAGAACTGAACAGCGGGGGGACACGATGAATCTGATAAAACTGATCAATTGGACACGCGACAAGCGACTAATAAATAGGTCGACAAGC